ATCTATTTAATTAAAAAGCAGTGTCTAAATAATAGTTTTTGTATGGATGTACTTTCTACGAATTCTACGTATTTTATAAATGGTTTAATTGTACACAAAAAACATTGTATTCTGAATAAATGTCTTGAAATAAATTTTGAAACCCATTGACATAAGTCAAAATCTGAATTCTTCTGATTATATTTTTGATATTATATACAGAACAAGATAATAAATATATTTTATATTGCTTAATTAAATCACACGAATATGAAAGAAAAATAATATTAAGAACTTCAATTTATTTCCAGAGGAATACACAAAAAATTTAAATGTGAGGGTTTTTTAAAAAAAATTTAAAAGTATTACAGACGTTTGACATATTTGTTAAAGTTTTGCTCTACAACATTGATTTCAGAAAATGTTCTAAGGCCCTTTCTTTATCCTTTGCAGAAATTTAAATTGCTTCAATGTAGAAACTTCAGACGTACAAATTTACTTAGGAAAAAGAATCTTAAAATGGCGTAAATTAAATGCAAATTCTCAAAGACTTTAAAAGATCCTTTTTGGAAATTAAGACCTAAAACATTTTTAAAAGTGTTCAGCATTAAAATATACGATTTTTCTTTTCCTTATGTGGAAGAGTTGGTTCAAATTTCATCATTAATTTTATTAACACAAAAAAAAGGTGGCAGTGTACATGGAAACCTAACATGTGGCTAAATAGGCAGTAAAGAACATCTGACAACACCTGCCATGTGAGGGGAACTCTTTTACAATGCCTAAAATTAAAGCCCGGACTGACGGAAAAATATGTTCCGGTGCACTCTACTACATTCTCCCCTGCTTAACCATGTAACGGCCCTTGTTACAGGAAAAACGGCCTTATATACACAAGTCTTTGTAAAAAAAATACACCACATATTAATACGAGCATAGAAACATTGGCAGTTTTTTAAATGTATGTTGTAAAAGAAAAACAAATGAAAAATACAATTTTAAACATCACAACCTAACAATTAACTGCAATTAATCAAATCTACTCAAAAAATAAGCAAATTCTAGATAACTAAAAAATACAGTCGGTATACATCTCGAAAATGACTTGTACACAAAATTAGGTTCTAATCACTGAACATGGCAGCCTGTTGGGATTTGTGTGTTGTCCGGCTGTAGAACGACCAGATCTGCGAAGTGGCGATGACCTTTTTGTTACAATCTCGTAATCCTCGTCTGATGAGTCTTCATCCAACGACCTTTCGTCCGATTCTTTTCTAACTGTTGTTAGGTTCTCTTGGGGCGCTTTTGGCTTCTGATCAATGTTCGATGGCCCTGTTTTAGGATTGATGTTCACGCGGTTTACTATGCGTGTGTCTGTTGTCCCATCTCTTGGCTCCACTTGGTAAACATAACGGTCTGGGTCTACTCGTTTTACAACCATATATTCCTTTGATCCCCAAGCATCCTGTATCTTGTTACGTCCTAGAACACGGTTTCTTAAGAGGACAGTAGTACCAATAGGAAGATCATGTGTTGCCATTTCCTTTCTGTCACCTTCACGGTCTTTTGCCTTTGCCCGAAGTTTCTCCCCTGCTTTTTCGTATGCGGTCTTCAATCGCTGGGCATGCTGTTCCACAAATTCATGAAGGTTAACTTCATCCTCTTCCCCTTCCTCCTCAAAAAGAAGCATGGAGTCAACAGGTAAGCGTGGATTTCTTCCCAGAAACAGGTAAAAAGGTGTGAAACCTGTTGAAGAGTGTACTGTGGAATTGTATACAAACAGCAGCTCTGGTAAGTGGTCTGGCCAATGTCTTTTTTCACGTGGAGTTAATGAGCGCAAAAGATCATGAAGCGTTCGGTTGAACCGTTCACATTGTCCATTACCCTGGGGGTAATAAGGTGTTGTGCGAGTCTTCTTCACCTTGTACATCTTACAAAGCTCAGCTATCAGAGATCCCTCAAAGTTTCTGCCCTGATCAGAATGTATGCGCTCTGGCACTCCATACTTCATGAACCATTCTCTCATGAGAACCTTGGCTGTTGTTACTGCTGTCTGGTCCCTAGTCGGGATTGCGATAGAAAATTTGGAGAAAACATCAGTTAGAACTAGAACATTTTCCCTGCCATCTGATGACTTTTCTAGAAGAGTGAAATCCATGGCTACAATCTCATTTGGTTTCGTGGCTAGAAGGTGGTTCATAGGTAACCGCATTCGCAAGTGTGGTAGTTTCGCTGAATTGCACCTTTCACATGACTTGCAGTACTCGCTGATGTCAGCATACATTCCAGTCCAGTAAAATCTAGATCTCACTAGACTGACTGTCCTGTCTACACCCTGATGTCCTGACTGCTTATGGAGTTGGGCCATAATTTGGTCTTGTAAACACTTAGGTAACACAAGCTGTTGCAACTGGCCTTGTTGGGGGTCGTTTACTCTGCGATATAGGCGACCTTGTCTTAACTCCATCCTCTCCCATTGTCTAAGCATGTCAATAACAACTCGTGTTTCTCCCTCCCTTTCTTTCTTAGTCGGCTTTTGTCCAATAAGGAAATACTTCATGAAACGTGAGATAACAGGGTCCTGGCTCTGCATTTTGATGATATCTTCTAGGTCATAACTGGGGAACGAAAACACACTAGAACATACTGCTGTCGGATGTAGTGTCTTAGCACGGTCTTCACATCCCTTGATTGCTGATGCAAGGGCCTTAACTCTAATCTCACAGGAAAGTGCACTGCATGTATTTGGCACAATGGATGAAATGGAATCACATCTGGAAATTCTTGACAAGGCATCAGCCGCAGTGTTTTCTTTTCCAGGTCGGTACTTGATGGTAAAGTTATATTGTGCTAGTTGCATGGCCCAACGTTGTTCAGTAGCTCCCAGTTTTGCGCTTGTTTGGAGATAACTTATGGGGTTATTGTCTGTCAGGATTTCAAATGTTGATCCCCATAGATAATCCTTAAACTTTTCAGTCACAGCCCATTTAACTGCAAGCAGTTCAAGTTTAGCAGAGCTATAGTTAGAGTCGTTGCGCTCTGTAGGACGGAGTGTGCGACTAGCATAGGCAATGACACGACGTTTTCCTTCCTGCTCCTGCATCAGAACAGCACCCAACCCATTCAAACTTGCGTCTGTCTCCAGGACGAATGGTTTGGAGTAATCTGCAAACCCCAACACATCTGTGGATGTCAGCTTATCTTTCAGCATGTTGAATGCAGTGGAACACTCTGGTGTCCATAAATGTTTCAGTTGTCCATTAGTCTTTTGAGGATTATTCCTGTTGAAAGTGGCTATCAGTCCATACAATGGCTTTGCAGTATGAGCATATTTCGATACAAATCTACGATAGTAGCTTGAGAATCCCAAAAATCCTCTCAGTTCCTTAAGCGTCATAGGAAGTGGCCAATCCTTTACAACTTTTACTTTGTCCTCAGATGCAGAAATCCCCTCCTTGGAGACTGTGTAACCTAGATACTGCACTTCCTGTTGAAAAAAATGGCATTTACGTGGATTGAGTTTAAGGCCATGTTCCCGTAGCTTTGCAAACACCAGGTCTAACCTCTGTAGATGTTCATCTAAGGTCCTAGAGTATACCACTATATCATCGAGGTAAACCAGTAAAATCTGGAAAACTGTGTCGCTGAAGATCTGCTGCATTAATCTTTGGAAACTCGCTGGTGAATTGCAGAGGCCAAATGGCATGCGTCGATATTCATATAAACCGAAAGGAGTCGAGAAAGCAGTTTTGTGTTGGTCGTCTGGATGCATTGCTATCTGATGGAAGCCACTTGCCAGGTCCATGGTGCTAAACAGTGTAGATCCATGAAGGGCATCAAGAGACTCCTCAATGCGTGGGAGGGGAAAGGCGTCTCGAATCGTGCGGTGGTTTAACTTCCTGTAGTCCACACATAGTCTAATGGTATTGTCCTTCTTGCGTGCAATGACTATGGGCGCAGCATAAGGGCTCTTGCTCGGCTGGATTATGTCCTTCTCCAGAAGTTTTTGTATGTGTTTTTTAACTTCTTGATACTGGTTTGGTGGTATTCTTCTGTAAGGCATGCTTATAGGCTCTCCATCTGTTAAATTAATGCGGTGCTTAACAGTCTCAGTGCAGCCCAAGTCCAGGTCATTCTTCACAAATACGTCAGAATTCCTTGAGAATAGGTCTAAAATTTTCTGTCTTTCTTCTGAAGTGCATTCCATGTTTTCTGGGACAAGTGAGGATGCATCAAAAGCTGGTGGATCTCCAGTTATGTCATCATGCAGTACAACCGTTTCCTCCCTTACTCCTGTAGACAGAAACTCCGCTTTAGCTCGAGGTGCTGTGTCAACGTCGCATTCAGACACTAGAGCCACACGACTATTCTTCTTCAACCAAACATCAGTGTCCCTTGGATTCATGACTTGGATGGGAAAAGTTTGTCTGTCACTGGCACACACAGAGTTTAATGCTATAACCCCAATGTTGTTTACTATTGGCTCGATGCACACAGTTTGTTTACGTCCAGGTTTACAATGAGGTCCAACAACGTTGACGAAGGATACCGAGTTCGATGGAATACACACATCCTCGTTTGCAGAAATCCTAGCAAAGCCCTTCACATCCCCAACTCTTGCTTTGGCCTCGATTGTGTTAATATGTGGGACATCAGACCGGAACAGGTCGCAACACTGCGAGATAATGTTCATACCTATAAGCCCAGGTACCTTCCTGTCACTCACATCCTTGACAATCAGAATTCCACGGTCTTTCACTGTGTGTCCATGCACCACTATATCCGTTTCAATATATCCTATATAAGGGATATCCAGTCCATTAGCTGCTCTTAGAGTTATAAATTGTTCTTGAATCATAGGAATAGTTGACAAATATTTATCATAAAATGACTCTGTGATAGTGCTCACCATAGAACCAGTGTCTAATAAACATTTAATGTCTATATTGCTAATAGTGATGTCTACTGTTGGACAAGGTGCAATTACGTTATAACTGTTCGAGCCAATTGTTGAACCCACTGCACGGCTCTCTGCAGTGGGCGCCACTAGTTTCCCTTCTTGGGGCAATTTCTCTTTATGTGCCCCTTCTCTTTGCAGTGGTAACACTGTACTGTCTTTGAGCGTGCTCCTTTTATGTCGGATAGCTCTTTCCTCAAGTCACTCATTTCGTTTCTAAGAGTCTTGATGAGTTCTTTCACATCGTCATCATGATTACTTGCTTTTTCTGCATACAGTGTGGCTTCTGTTTTCTTTTTCGGCTCCTCTTGATCTTGGGCTAGGACAATGGCTTCTTCTCTTAAGTCATGAAAAGTCATTGTTTCATTTGTGCGGACAATTCTTTTCAGTTCTCTACGGAGCCACGGCTCATGAACATTTTCTGCTAGCTGGTCCCGTAACATAGAGTCTCTTTCTTTCACACGGGATTTGTCTACCCTCCGAATTCGCTCGAGTTTTCCCATCAATTCTACTGAGAAGTCTTGTAGAGACTGACTACGTGATTGTTTAGAGTTATAGAACTCAGATAATAGTTCAGACACAGTTGCTCGTTCGCCAAAAACTTCTTTCAGAATCTCCAGGACAGCTTCCGGACTCTTTTTCTCTTCTGTTGGGCGAAATCGCATCTCTTCTTTCGCAGGTCCCTCAAGATGACTAAGGACAAAATCTACTTGTTCTTCCTGCGGTGTAGGACGTGCTTTAAGGATTCTGGTCATCTCCTCCGTGAACTCGTACACAGATACTCCTTGACCTTTCTTCCCCGAGAACTTTTCCACTTTCCGCAGCTTTGGGGCAAACACAAGCTGTTGTCCTCCCTCTGTTGTTGTATTCTTCTCCAGCTTGACCTTTTCAAGTTCAGCCCTCAGGGCCTCCAGCTGGGCCTTGACTTCCTTTTTGCTCATCTTGATGCTGCTTTCTCTCCACCACCACCTTTAGAAAAATACCGGCGACGCCATTTGTGGAAGAGTTGGTTCAAATTTCATCATTAATTTTATTAACACAAAAAAAAGGTGGCAGTTTCATTGTAAAGAACATTTATTAACACAAAAAAAAGGTGGCATGATGTACGGGATGGACACCTTTTTCTTCCATAAAAAACCTCAGAAAAACATGTGGCTAAATAGGTTTTAACAGTAAAGAACATCATTATGACAACACCTGCCATGTGATGCTCTTGTGGGAACTCTTTTACAAGAGATCTTAAAATAAATGTTAGCGATCAGGTATGGAAACAATACAAAATCCATAGACGCAACGTCCATGCGTTAACTGGGGTATTGAGATATGGCAGGAGTTGATAATTAAAAATGCTAATCCTTCCATTCTTATAAAGCTATTACCATTTGAATACTTTTGTCCTTGTACGTGTAGGCAATTTCCAGCAGCATCTAAAACCATTTTAGACTATTTTCAGAAATTTCTGTGTAAATACATAAATTTTAACAGGTCGGTGCTCCATGACCTTCAATAATGTTCACAGCCTTGGCTTTGTTTTTACGCGATGATCAAATAAATGATAAAATAAATGGCTATAAAACTGCCATATGCCCTCCAAAATAATTTAAAAGTGATGTTTCATGATTACTGTAGCGATAGGTAAAATATCATAGATCTTTTTGCGCTTCTAATGTGCAATTTTTAATTTCATCAAGAAGTCTCCGTAATGTAAACATGCGAAAAAGTAGCATGCTTCTTGAAGCGTGTTTTATCAAGAGATACAGCTGTATATTTTTTAAGAATCACAATAAAACACCAAAATCTTTGTATATTTATTGGAAAATGGGTAAAGTTTTTTTTTTGGAGAGTTTAACCGGTTTCATGACAATAACGCGCTCAGAATAGAACTTGTCTGCAAACTTTTCTAACAACCCTCGTATGTACAATTTCTAACACGAGGTACATGTAAATTAATGACAAACAAGTTGATGAAACAAAAATAGCAGTCTCGTTAAGGTCCATTATTTCGTAAGTTCTATGGTCGATACAATGACCTTGTCAGCATATACAATTTATCATTGAGTCAAATACTGACTGACGTTTTGTTATTCTTTTATTTAAACACTGAATTGACAACATATTTTCACATTACTTTAGTATTTCCCGATCATGACAAGGAGCATACGGCGGGTGTGACCGGTCAGCAGGGGATGCTCACCCCTGCATGGCACCTGATCACACCTCTGATGTTTTGGAATTCCGTGTTTGCCTATTTTGTATTTTTCTATGGATTTTTGAGCTTGAATACTGTTCTTTATCTCCATATTTTTCATCCATTTTGACAACGTGTTAATGGTTGATTTAGCTGCATTTCTTCTGTTAAACGTAGATGTTTTAAAAACCTATGATTTGCAATATCCATAACAACAAATCCAAGCCTACATTCTGGTGTCGAGGAATAAAAAAAATGGACTTTTATTGACCTTTTCAAATTCACTATTTAAAAGTTTCAAAGGGACAAAGCAAAGTTTGATGGAAATGTGATGAAGACCTAACTGTTTATATGCACGAGGTAGTAATGAAATAAAAGAGGCATGGTGTATTAAAGGTTTATTTTAAGGCCGATGCCCACGAGTACGCTTAAACGTATCTGTTTTTAAAAATGTTTTAAAAGTCCCATCACATTTACGTTGTTACACTCTGGACTGGAAAGCATTTCCAACACTATCGATGAGGAAAGGTTCTCCCTAGTTTTTTTTAATCCAGTGGTTTTCTACGTGTGTCCAGTGATAGACCGTTTGTGTGATGGTAAATCTTTTTTTCAGAATTCTAACTTATATTGACAAAATAGAAAGTTTAAGAGGTCAGTGTTTGCTCTGCACCAAAATGTAAAACTTGGTTTAATTAGTCTGCATGTAAAAATAATTAAAATTCAGGACATGCAGTGTGCCACGCATTGGGTGCCTGGTTTTTCGGCGGACTGCCTCTTTAAATATAATACACAATTTAATTGCATTTGGCCGTAAGGTTCCATTATATACTTCTGGTTTGGAGACGTAATTGATGACATGTTTGGATTATGTGCTGTGAAAATGGAAAGAGGAAACGCCACATTTTGTCTGTAAACCCTATGCTTGTAACATTTTTCTGCAGTAATGATTATTTATAATCATCCTGACATGAATTTTATCACGAGGAAAATATAATTCGTTTCTTTAATCATGTTAATTCCAAGTACAATACATGAACTATTGTTATAAATTACTCATGTATATTTTTTATCATTTAAAATTATAACAATTAATCATTTTTACCACTTTCGTTTGTAAATAGACTTTGCTTTAAATGATGGAACCCTTTTTAAAATGGAAGGCACCTTCATACAAAAACTATTGCTTAGATACTGTTTTTTATATAAATTTACAGAGATCAATTAAAACATTTTTAAATAGAATTAGAATGTAGCATTTTTAACACTTCAACTTTGTGAATTATTATTTTCCTGTTAAATTGATCACATATACAGCGAAACAACAGGACGGACACTTCCGGATTGGGATGGCTAGAATAGCAGCTTGTTTAATTATTTTTGGTGTTTTTGAATCTTTGTACCTTGGAAGCAGTCAAAATATATGTGAACAACCACCCAAGTAAGATAACATTGTAAATGATGTTTTAACTAAATTGGCGATGCAGAAAAAATCATGACAAGTGATGTTAAAATAATCAACCTGTTCATCTTATTAATCGTATGGGTCTATTAAATTATATTCTCTATAAGGACAATTAACACAACCTTTTTTTAATTCAAAATTATTTCATAAAAATTTATATTCAATTAAGAAACCTGAACAATATTTCTCAGCTAAGAATTATACAACTCGCACCCATTCGAAAACAATGTTTTCAGTATTTAAAAATTGCTAAAATAGAAGAGATATACCTCGTTGGTTATGAAGCTTATTTATTTAACCTAACAAAGTTATTGATTACTGTTAAATCACAAATTTTTGTGAGGTTTAATTTAGGTAGGTATGAAGAGACCCACTAATTAATGTTCACAACGAAATGTAAATACGTTGCATACATAACTTCTCGACAATTCCTATCCACGAAATTAAATCCCCAAGAACAAAGAGTTTATTTTGTAAAACCACGAAAATTTGATCAAATGAAATTCTTTTTGTATATAATTATGTGATAACAGAGAAGGTTTTGTATAGGGCGGATATTTTCCCAAAAGGATACAATTCAAACTTGACATCACTTTTTTAATTTTTAGCTCACCTGAGCCGAAGGCTCAAGTGAGCTTTTCTGATCAAAATTTGTCCGTTGTCTGTCGTCGTTGTCGTTGTTGTTGTCGTTGTCGTTGTCGTTGTCGTCGTAAACTTTTCACATTTTCATCTTCTTCTCAAGAACCACTGGGCCAATTTCAACCAAACTTGGTACAAAGTATCCTTGGGTAAAGGGGAATCAAGTTTGTTCAAATGAAGGGCCACGCCCAGTTCCAAGGGGAGATAATTATGAATTTGTGAAAAATTAATGGCATTTTTAAAAAATCTTCTTCTCCAGAACCGCTGGGCCAGGAAAGATGAAACTCATGTGGAAGCATCTTCAGGTAATGTAGATTCAAGTTTGTTCAAATCATGACCCCCGGGGCAAGGGTGGGGCCAAAATGGCCGACCCAAGTTTTACATAGGAATATATAGGAAAAATCTTTAAAAATTTTCTTCTCCAGTACCACTGGGCCAGGAAAGATGAAACTCATGTGGAATCATCCTCAGGTAGTGTGGATTCAAGTTTGTTCAAATCATGACCCCCGGGGCAAGGTCGGGGCCAAAATGGCCGACCCAAGTTTTCCATAGGAATATATAGGAAAAATCTTTAAAAATCTTCTTCTCCAGTACCACTGGGCCAGGAAAGATGAAACTCGTGTGGAATCATCCTCAGGTAGTGTGGATTCATGTTTGTTCAAATCATGACCCCCGGGGCAAGGGTGGGGCCAAAATGGCCGACCCAAGTTTTACATAGGAATATATAGGAAAAATCTTTAAAAATCTTTTTCTCTAGAACCACTGGACCAGGAAAGATGAAACTCATGTGGAATCATCCTCAGGTAGTGTAGATTCAAGTTTGTTTAAATCATGACCCCTCGGGGCTAGGGTGGGGCCAAAATGGCCGACCCAAGTTTTACATAGGAATATATAGGAAAAATCTTTAAAAATCTTCTTCTCCAGAACCACTGGACCAGGAAAGATGAAACTCATGTGGAATCATCCTCAGGTAGTGCAAATTCAAGTTTGTTCAAATCATGACCCCCGGGGCTAGGGTGGGGCCAAAATGGCCGACCCAAGTTTTACATAGGAATATATGGGAAAAATCTTTAAAAATCTTCTTCTCCAGAACCACTGGGCCAGGAAAGATGAAACTCATTTGGAATCATCCTCAGGTAGTGTAGATTCAAGTTTGTTCAAATCATGACCCCTGGGGCAAGGGTGGGGCTAAAATGGCCGACCCTTGTTTTACATAGGAATATATAGGAAAAATCTTTAAAAATCTTCTTCTCGAGAACCACTGGGCCAGGAAAGATTAAACCCATGTGGAATCATCCTCAGATAGTGTAGATTCAAGTTTGTTCAAATCATGACCCCCGGGGCAAGGGTGGGGCCAAAATGGCCGACCCTTTTTTTACATAGGAATATATAGGAAAAATCTTTAAAAATCTTCTTCTCCAGAACCACTGGGCCAGGAAAGATAAAACTCATGTGGAATCATCCTCAGGTAGTGTAGATTCAAGTTTGTTCAAATCATGACCCCCGGGGCTAGGGTGGGGCCAAAATGGCCGACCCAAGTTTTACATAGGGATATATAGGGAAACCTTTTAAAATCTTCTTTTCAAGTTCTTCAAAGCTATGATTAGTGATACATGTTTTTATATGGAATCATCCTCAGGTAGTGTAGATTCTAATTTGTTCAAATGATGAACGCCTGGAGGGGGGGGGGGATAAATTCAAGCCCGATGTGCTCAGGTGAGCGCTGTGGCCCCTGGGCCTCTTGTTAATGTAGTATGTGTATTCACTCAAATATTCCCTTGAGTCAATTTAAAAAAAAATGTTTAAAACATTTTTAAACTTAACTTAAAGTATTTTTTCCTTTGATTGTATTCGAGTTATGCTGCAATCACTTTCTGAATTTTTTTAACGTAATTATGTCGCCCTGTGCCCTGCGCGCCCTGTAATAGAGCTTTTGCTTTAGATTTGTTAAGTGAGGAGTTAATCCTTACGTCGCGGGTTAGAATCTCATTGTGGAATGAAGATGCCATTCATTTGGTTAAGACCGTGTTAACCGAGGTCCGGACCTCGTCGCTGTAGCTGCTGGTACGAAAAAGATCCCTCACTGCTTAATGTACCTGAGTATACTCTAGGTCAAAATTTGCAGATCTCCATTGGAAAGTAACGGAGTCTCCATATGAGTGAAAAACCTTGCAAGGGACGTTAAGCAGCAAGCGAACAAACAAACAAAGACGATTAAAATTTCCTCAAATTAAACAATACATTAGAAAACCCCAAATGAGGTATAATATTTCATCTTAATTATCTTTCAGACCAGACGATGTTCCAGTATGTTGCCCGTTTTACCACTATAACGGAACTGATTGTATTGGTAAAAATTTAGTTTTAAAATTGCATTCAAACAACCGCTGATCTTTCATAAGAACTGGGTACGGTATATATAACGAGGCGGCCCTGTAAAAACGTATTTATTAATGTTACACAAACACGTGTTTGTGTTTGTTTATTCCTGTCATCTATTGGCTGTTAGAATGGTCACCTAGTCAGGTGACATTAATATTCATAGCACGGGCTATTACTGACCGTGAAAGAAATTCTGTATAGGGAAAGCCATTCGAAGGCTCTATTTCGTGCAGTCTACACGTTTTCGTCATTCATCATATTCTGTCATGGGCGATTCTGGAGACGAAATTTTGCTAGAGACTAATGATAATAAGAAAGTTACAAAGGAAACTACTGGTAGTAATCCTCCGTTGGATATTTCGGACGTGGTGAAGCTTGTTACAGGAGTTTTGCAGTCACAGTTTCAAAACCTTTCAGGTCAGCTTAAAGCAGAACAGTCGGAGTCCATTGCTAAGAAACTTAAAGAAAACTCTACTCTTAAGATTAAATCTGAAGGGAATCGCGCTCAGTACGATTTTAATGCTGAAATTCTTGAGGGTCTAGAAAAACTAGAGATAAGAGCTCTCGAAAATAGAGACAGTGAATCAGTGTCAATAATAGGCGAATTGCGGAAAAAACTGAAAACGCGCCAGAAATATATTCGTATTGCCGATTCATCTCCTGCAGGGTGGAAGACAGTAAACGAGTATCAGTCCAGAGAAATTGCCGACAACTCTGACGATGAGAAGAAAATTAGAAGCGCTGAAAACCGAGCCCTTAGGCAGCAAAGGCAAACCCAGAACAAGCGTTTCCACCCGTATGGCTCCTACAGAGCTTCTACAGCGTCAGCAGCGGCAGGCTCGGCAGCCCAGCTTACTTCTGGTTCTTCCTCTACTGCTACATCTCAGCCATATACATATCAGCAGCAGCCCTTTCGTGGCAAACTCACAAGGCGTCAACCACAGCCCAGCGACGTATGCTTCAACTGTTTTTCCACTGGACACTGGAAAACCAACTGCCCCAAAAACAAGTCACAAAGTCAATGATAAGTATACAGGTTATACAAGCTATTCTACTCTTGCTGGCCAGGTGAAATGCATTCAGAAAAATAATTCAAAACAAATGTCATTGATAAAGTACAATTTGAAAAGAAATGTTAGTAAATGGAGAGAAATTGGCACAAATCCTTTTATTTTGAAAGTTATTGAATCTGGATATGAAATTCCTTTCGTTTCAAATCCTCCTTCTATGTGTTTTCAAAATAACAAGTCTGCTATTAACAATTTTGAATTTGTTACTTCAGAAATTTCAGATTTGATGGAAAACAAACGTATTTTAGAAGTTCCTTTTCAGCCATTTGTGTGTAGTCCACTGAGTGTCGCCGAAAACAAAAATAAAAAGAGATTGATCCTTGATCTAAGTAGGCTAAATAAATATGTCAAGTATGATAAAATAAAATTTGAAGACTGGAAGACGGCATTAGATTATTTTGAAAAGGGGTTTTACTGTATTAAATTTGATCTGAAATCAGGATATCATCACATAGATATAGCTGAGAATTATCAAACTTATTTAGGATTCCAGTGGGAAAACAAGTATTACTGCTATACGGTTCTCCCTTTTGGTCTATCGTCAGCTCCATTCATTTTTACTAAATGCTTAAGACCCATCGTAAAATACTTGAGAAAAAATGGCATTATGATTGTATTATATTTAGATGATGGTTTGGCGTTCGCTTCTACTGAGGACCAATGTCTTTTAGATTCTCAATTTATTCAGAAAACGTTGTCAGAAGTTGGTCTGGTGGTTAATGTTGAGAAATCACATTTTATACCAACACAAGTCATTGAATGGTTAGGTTTAACATGGAATTCAAATCTATTCTCTATTTCAGTTCCGGACAGACGAATCGAGGATGCTATCTGTTGTCTACAGAAAACTATCATTCATTTTCCCGATGTAACAGCGAGGGAACTTGCAAGAGTAGTGGGGAAGATCATTTCTATGACTCCAGTAATGGGTAACATTTGCAATATTATGACAAGGTTTTCTTCTATGGAAATTGCTTTGAAAGAATCATGGGATTCTAAGCTATTTTTCAAGCATAAAGATCAAGTGTTTGAAGAACTAAAATTTTGGGTAGAATGTATGCGTTGTGACAGTACAAGATTTTTACATTCTGTTAAAAGAAAAAACGTAATCATTTATTCAGATGCAAGTAATTCAGCATCTAGTGCATATACTGTTGAAGTTAATTCTAAGGTGTTCCATTTGATGTGGAAAGAACATGAGAAAACTATGAGTTCTACATGGAGAGAGTTGAAGGCCATAGAATTGGCGCTGGCTTCTTTTAAGAAAGAACTACAAAATATGACAGTAAAGTGGTTTACAGATAATCAAAGTTGTGCGAAAATAGTACACTCTGGTAGCATGAAGCATCACTTACAAGTTTTAGCATATAATATTTTCAAAATGTGTGCCGTAAACAAAATTTCCCTCGATGTTCAATGGGTTCCGAGATCAGAAAATGAAAAGGCAGATTTTTTCAGTAAAATTATTGATCACGATGATTGGGAAGTTACTAATGAATTTTTTGAATATATTAGTTCTATGTTTGGTCCTTTCTCTGTAGATAGATTCGCAAACTTTAACAATCGTAAACTTGTTAGATACAACTCAAAATTTTGGAATCCTGAGTCAGAGGCTGTAGATTGTTTTACACAGAATTGGGTGGGCGAAAACAACTGGCTAGTTCCTCCCATTCATTTGATAGTTTCTACTATAAAACATCTATTAGATTGCAAAGCATATGGTATTTTGATTGTACCTAACTGGCCCTCAGCTGTTTTTTGGCCAATGTTATTCGATTTAGAACTGTCTTATAAGGCGTATGTGAAAGATGTGTTACTGTTTAAAGATACAAGTGAGATAATCAGTCAAGGTCAGAACAAGAACTGTCTATTTGGTTCTATATATTTTGGCTCTGGAATACTTGTGGTACGTTTAGACGCTACAAATTTGTAGTTTATGATGGTGTATTGCAGATGGTTTAGGCCCTGGTACACTTTAAACAAAGATTTTTGCCAAGCTGGGCAAATGTATAGATGATGTATTGCAGATGACAAGTGGTCCTGGTACATCAGAGAGGGTGTATTGCAGATGATGAAGGTCCTGATACACCATATAATATGTTAAAGTTAGAAGATGCTAATTTTTTGCTTTAAAAAACACATTTTTCAGATATATTTAAAGTGGGCAGATGGACGGGAATTAATTGTGGATTACAGGATCATCGTCTAGCGGAACTTGCTTCTGAACTACCCAGATATTGTGTAACATCTAAGGCCGAAAATACAGCAAAACAGTACAGGTACGCTTTTAATACCTTTTGTAAGTGGTGTAGCAGCTTTAACCCTGGGATTCAATCACTTCCTGCTTCGGAAAACAACGTTGCACTATATATTATACATTTAGCAAAACAATGTAAATCGTCTGGCACAATACATTCAGCTATACATGCCATCAGTTGGGCACATAGCCTAGCAGGTTATATAGATCCTTGTGACTCAGCTTTGGTAAAAACTGTTAAGGAAGGGGCAGTTAGAGAGACATCAAAACCAGTGATTAAAAAAGAGCCTATAACGCCTGAACATTTGAAAACTCTGGTTTCTACATTTGGAGAGGATGGAAATTTATACAATTTAAGAACATTGTGTATGTGCTTATTAGGTTTTGCAGGATTTTTGAGATTTTCAGAAATAGTTAACATTCGTTACTCAGATATCTGTATACAGACTAATTGTGTAGAAATTAACATTGTTAAAAGTAAAACAGATGTTTATAAAACTGGTCATAAAGTTTGTATTGCTAGAACATTTTGTGATACCTGTCCTGTAAATATGTTGGAAAAGTTTTTAAAATTGTCAAATGCTGACATGCATTCTCCTCTGTTCTTGTTTAGATCTCTGTCATTTTGTAAAAAATTCCAAACTTATAAACTGAGATCGGATAATCGTCCAATTTCTTATACAAGAGCAAGAGAAATCATTTTGGATTCACTTGAAAAGATTGGTTTAGACAAGTGTAAATTTGGTGATTTTGAGATCAGGTGGCGCTACCTCCGCAGCCGCCGCAGGTGTTAGCGACAGACTGTTTAAAAAGCATGGGCGGTGGAGGTCGGAAAATTCTAAAGATGGTTATGTTAAAGAAAACCAAATTGAAAAACTTTCAGTTACTAAGAATTTGGGCATTTAGGATATTCGTTTCAGTTCTAATCTTCTTTATCTTCGAAATAATTAAACTGCACTTTCAGAGCGCTTCATATCCTATTTCACGAGTTTGTGTTTATTTCATAAATGTTTTATGTTCGTTTGAGTGAAACGAATAAGAACATAAACGTATTTATTAATGTTACACAAACACGTGTTTGTGTTTGTTTATTCTTGTCATCTATTGGCTGTTAGAATGGTCACCTAGTCAGGTGACATTGATATTCATAGCACGGGCTATTACTGACCGTGAAAGAAATTCTGTATAGGGAAAGCCATTCGAAGGCTCTATTTCGTGCAGTCTTATTAGTCCCACCCACCCGCCCATTGCTTAGTTTTGAATGTTATATTAGATTTATACCTTGTTGAAAATATTTATTTTCTATTTTGTAGAATTCGGACATTGATGAGGACAAAGAAATATTATATGTATTGTGTGAAATAATTAAACTGCACTTTCAGAGCGCTTCTTATCCTATTTCACGAGTTTGTGTTTATTTCATAAATGTTTTATGTTCGTTTGAGTGAAACGAATAAGAACATAATCGGCAAAAATTAAACGCACGATAACATATTTTGAACTGTGTCAATTTATTGTTCAGGTACGAAAGCCTACAAGGGTCAAATAGGAAAGTGAAGAAAAAAAATTAAGTCGTAATAACGACTTTTTATCTCGTTATTACGACTTTCTTAAGTCGTAATAACGACTTTTTATCTCGTTATTACGACTTTTTATCTCGTAATAACGACTTTTTAAAGTCGTAATAACGACTTTTTATCTCGTAATAACGACTTTCTTAAGTCGTAATAACGACTTTTTATCTCGTTATTACGACTTTTTATCTCGTAATAACGACTTTCTCAAGTCGTAATAACGACTTTTTATCTCGTAATAACGACTTTCTTAAGTCGTAATAACGACTTTTTATCTCGTTATTACGACTTTTTATCTCGTAATAACGACTTTCTTAAGTCGTAATAACGACTTTTTATCTCGTTATTACGACTTTCTTAAGTCGTAATTACGACTTTTTATCTCGTTATTACGACTTTCTTAAGTCGTAATAACGACTTTTTATTTTTTAATTTTTTCATTTGAAACATTTTTAACTTACGAAAGCCTACGAGGGTCAAATTAGAAAATGAAGGAAAAAAAATTAAGTCGTAATAACAACTTTTTATCTCGTAATAACGACTTATCTCGTTATTACGACTTTCTTAAGTCGTAATAACGACTTTTTATTTCGTAATAACGACTTTTTTAAGTCGTAATAACGACTTTTTATCTCGTTATTACGACTTTTTATCTCGTAATAACGACTTTCTTAAGTTGTAATAACGACTTTTTATCTCGTAATAACGACTTTTTATCTCGTTATTACGACTTTTTATCTCGTAATAACGACTTTTTATCTCGTAATAACGACTTTTTATCTCGTAATAACGACATTCTAAAGTCGTAATAACGACTTTTTATCTCGTAATAACGACTTTTTATCTTCAAAATATTACTAGTATATATGATACATAAACGCGTGTCGAAAGCAAACTAAAGGTGGGGGGGGGGGGGGCTAAACCAACAAAAAATGTTTGGGGGCTACTCAGTAAGCCCCAATTATCAATGTCTATGTAGACTATATAATGTATTTCTTTGCAAAAAAAGGGGTTTAAATTGTTGTTCAAATGTTCTTCGTTCACAGACAAAAACTTTGAAAATATCAACTTGAAAGTCTATGATATATATATAAACAAATTACCATATATATAGTTATGTTTAAGAAAATAATAGGGAAGCCTCCACCCCCGCCCTGCAACGTTAACGTGCCTAATAAGCAGATGATACTCATTTTATTTTGTCAGTTTGATGTATAAAGTTTAGTAAAGTCATAAGTTTCCGGAATACGGAAAGGTCAAAAATAGCAAACCATTGAAAATAGACTTAAAAAAGAAAGTCGTAATAACGAGATAAAAAGTCGTTATTACGACTTAAGAAAGTCGTTATTACGAGATAAAAAGTCGTAATAACGAGATAAAACGTCGTTATTACGACTTAAGTAAGTCGTTATTACGAGATAAAAAGTCGTAATAACGAGATAAAAAGTCGTTATTACGAGATAAAAAGTCATTACGACTTTAAAAAGTCGTTATTACGAGATAAAAAGTCGTAATAACGAGATAAAAAGTCGTTATTACGACTTAAGAAAGTCGTTATTACGAGATAAAAAGTCGTAATAACGAGATAAAAAGTCGTTATTACGAGATAAAAAGTCGTTATTACGACTTAAGAAAGTCGTAATAACGAGATAAAAAGTCGTTATTACGACTTAAGAAAGTCGTTATTACGAGATAAAAAGTCGTATTAACGAGATAAAAAGTCGTTATTACGAGATAAAAAGTCGTTATTACGACTTAATTTTTTTTTCTTCATTTTCTAATTTGACCCTTGTAGGCTTTCGTATTAACTTGATCCTTTTAGGAGAGAAAACGGAAACGTGCCCGGTATAACGGTGTCGTGTAGGTGAAAACGCGATGATTGTTTAGTTATAAACTAAAACAGTTGCACCAGAGTTTGACAATCTATTTATGACAAAAATTTGTAATTATTGACAATATTTGGACTTGTTTTGTTTACACACTTATAATCTAAATCAATATGCCGCTAAATTGAAGACATTAGTGTTGCACATCGCAGAAATCATTTCAAAATATTATATATGATACATAAGCGCGTGTCGAAAGCAAACTAAAGGGGGGGGGGGCTAAACCAACAAAAATGTTTTAGGGGCTACTCAGTAAGCCCCAATTATCAATGCCTATGTAGACTATATTATGTATTTCTTTGCAAAAAAAGGGGTTTAAATTGTTGTTCAAATGTTCTTCGTTCACAGACAAAAACTTTCAAAATATCAACGTGAAAGTCTATGCTATATATAACCAAATTACCATATCTTGGCAACTTCTTTCCGTACCAGATTTAAATTAAACTACCACATCACCCTTATTTGGCTATATTGCAACAAAAAGTGTTTGGGGGGAGGGGGGGGGGGAGGAAATGAACATCAATAAACTTTTTCATCAGAGGAAAAGTTATGTTTGAGAAAACAATGGGGAAGCCTCCACCCCCACCATGCAACGTGCCTGATAAGCAGATGATACTCATTTTATTTTGTCAGTTTGATGTATAAATCAACTTCACGAGGCGGTCATAAGTTTCCGTAATACGGAAAGGTCAACAATAGCAAACCATTGAAAATAGTCTTACTAAAGAAAGTCGTAATAACGAGATAAAAAGTCGTAATAACGAGATAAAAAGTCGTTATTACGACTTAATAAAGTCGTTATAACGACTTAAGAAAGTCGTAATAACGAGAAAAAAAAGTCGTAATAACGAGATAAAAAGTCGTTATTACGACTTAAGAAAGTCGTTATTACGAGATAAAAAGTCGTTATTTCGACTTAAGAAAGTCGTAATAACGAGATAAAAAGTCGTTATTTCGAGATAAAAGGTCGTTATTACGACTTAATTTTTTTTTCTTCATTTTCTAATCTGACCCTTGTAGGCTTTCGTATTAAGGTTCCCCTTTGTGAAAAATTGGTATCAATTTTCCTCAACTCACGTGACCTTTTGTGTATATAACGTTCAAAACCGGTCTAATATTCCGGAATTCACCTATTTTGGACGTTTTCCTCCTCTTCAAGTCTAAATTTCGATGTGGCCGCATCCGAGTACATATGCGAAACTTCGCAGAAAGAACAAGTATACTTTGGTTTCTAATATGAAAGAGAAAAAATGACTGTACAAAAGTGCGGCCACGTCCGTTTTTAAGAAAAACTGTAGTTGAAAATACTTCGTTTTTGGATAGATGTGACTTTTCCCCCTCATTAAAATCTATACTTTTAAAGAAATGAAATGTTGAAGTCTGAATCTGAATGTGTTATTATCTAATCTATACTTTTACAGAAATTTGTTGTTTAAATCTGTATCTGAATGTTATGAAAACCACATAAACTTTTCTTCGTAAAATTTATCATGGGACATTGCATGGAAATTAATGACGCAATACATTAAAAACATGACGTCACAATGAGCCTGCATATGTTGAATAACCAAATTTTTCAGTCTTCCATAATAAAGTAATAATATGATAAATTTTCAATCAATATATGCAGTGAAAAACAGTCAAACGACATAAGTTTACATTTATACATGTATCTCTTATTAAAACGAGCGTCTCTTTCATATTGGACGTGATATTGACTATACTGTTCAAGAAAAGATTTTTTTTAACGTTTTATTGAAAATCATCATGTAGCTTTTTTAAAGTATGACTTAGATTATATATTTATCATGCTGAATGGTGACATCAGTGCTTTCAAGACAGGTTTAAATTAAACATGCAATTCAAAGGCGGATCCAGGGGCGTTGCGCCGAGCGCACCACCACCTCCCCCACCCCCATCCACCGTGATTTTTAAAAATTTGCTTGTATTTTGTAAAACAAGCATTTAATTAATTATTTTTTTGTTACTAGCATTAAACACAAACTTATCAGTAGATCTACACGTATGGTATGAGATATTCCGAAATATTATTTTACCGCCATGGCAATGTATTCTAAATTTCCTGCAAGGTGACGATTGGTTTTCTAAATCAAAGTGGGGGGTACATATTATAGTAGATGTTCGTTCCCCGGACCCTACCAGGAATGTGCCCCCAACCCCCATAGGACTTCAACGCAGCTCCAGACATCCCGTCCTCAATACCATCCCTCCCCCGTTATTAAATTCCTGGATCCGCAACTGTAATTTACAAGGAATTTAGATAATGAAATAATATTATTTTGAAAAATTTTGTATGGCTACAGTTGTGAGTGTTTTCGGCAAATTCTATGTAATTTTAAATGAAACATGATGCAATCAACTATTTATTTGTGTCTGAATAAAGATTAACAGTTCCCAATAGCAATTAACATTTTTCTTTACACAGACAAGTGAAGGCAATTTTAACATATATGAATCCGCTGTATATTTAAGAAATAAAAACAAGCATAATCGTGCATTATTTTTTGACAAGAGACATGCTTTTCCCCTTCCGCTGCATACAATCGATGTATTTAGCTCGATTAGGACTTTTTCAGAAATTAATTAAGTCATTTATAAGACATTAAATTGCTTTTTGAAAATTACCTGTGTTAAAACGAATGTATCAGACATAATATTGTTAAGATTTAAAAAAATTTCAACAAAATTATCCATTAAATAATACATTAAATATATGTCATAGGATATAAATATTGATACAAATGACATTCATCAGGGCTGGGAAGGTGGGTAGGGGTGTCCAGTCCAGTATCACCTTAGTGAAAACGGTGCACATCAGATCTGTGATGATTATTCGTTCCGAAAAAAATATGAAAAGTATTTTATCGTTACTACAAGAACAAATGACGTAAAACATTGCGAAAGCCCAAAAAGTTATTGTTTCCAAAGGGAGTCACTGAAATCTATCAAATATCTATAAACGTTTACATTTAGGAGGTATTGTAAAGCATAATCAATATTAATAATGTCTGTTTTAGCAGTTTTTGTCTTAGTCGATGTATAGTCACGTAAATGACGTAATACATGTCAGCTGTTTGTGAGGTATATTTTAAAAGAATTTTTCATTAAAACAACTTTCAAGAAAAAAAAAATTATTCTGTTAGAAACCCAATCTCGCTTTCTAATGGTAATCGGGGAAAGACAAACCTAACTGTAAAAAAAAAAAATGCACACCGTAGTGACGGTAACTGCAAAAGTGTCTCAATATGTAGCTTATAAAAAGGTTAATAACGAAAAGGGACTTGAACCAATTTTTTAATATTTTTAAATTAAGTGTTTTGTTATTTTGGATTTCGATTGTTTGTATTTTGCTTCATTTAAATAGAAAAATATATAGAAGTGGGGGGGGGGGGGGGGGGTTACTGATTATCAAGATGTACAATTATGACTACCAATGAACGAGTTTATATCAAGAATCTATTTTCAAACTAGAGACAGTCCTTTCCTATTTTCTGTTGATCTCCTCTCGACTTTGACCGTTGGTCGATCGTTTACAGCCGACATCAATGCAATGACTGCGCATTGCTTAGAAAACAAAACGCACAGACCTCTATAGCTGGCATGGATAAACTATGTAAATCATACACATAACATTTCAATGTAGTGTAATATTTTTTTCTACAAGTCTAGAAAATCATGCCTTTTAGACAGTACTACTACATTGTACCACTAAATTCTGGGATCCCTTCCCGGAAATTCGTGTTTTTTCACCTCCCGCTTGAAAATCAGGAGGGTTATAGTAATCGATATGTCCACCCGTCTGTCTGTCTGTCTGTCTGTTACGCTTTGGGTACCCGTCTCTTATCCACATATCCTATTATACCACTGAATGAAATTCAATGAAACTTTCACAGAATCTTAATAACATATTGCCATTGTGACCTTTTATTTTACTTTTTGACCCGACACATGTTTTGGGTTTCTAACGGCAAAACATAAAAGAGAGGTATCCCCAAAGCATAACAGATGGACGGACACCCCGATCACTTTTCAAACGAGGGTAAAAAAATCTAAAATCAAAGAAAATTGAAAAATGTATATCATATAAACCCGAAATAGGGAGTAAATAATATGTTCATAAAAAAGCCCCAACATTTATAGCGCCGTCATTTGTTGGAATGAAAGGGGGAGTTCTGTTGATAGCTTTTTCATTGCCAAAAAAAAAATTCCAACTTCATAAACAATACGTTCAATTTTTTAAGTATATAATTAATTACTCACATCATTTATTCTGGATGAATAAAGTTTCGTAGACTAGCGTGTTTTGTACAATCGTATGTTAAAAAATTATATATTTCTGAAAATATTTAAACTATTTCAAACTATCAACGATATATGAATTGAAAGATAGTTCAAAATAGTTTACTGGAATATTGGCAGGATTAAGTAAATAGTTTTCGGTTGAGAGAATTTACAGACTTCATTTAACGTAACGTTAAAATCAGTAACGTCGTGATGACGTCGCTACGTCAAAAGTTGTAATTATTGAAGAAAATGCACCATTTTCCCAAACCTCTGACGGAAAAACGGTAAGAGATAATCCAAAAAAATAAAATGATTTTGAAAGGACCATCGTGAGCATGTTTGTAAAAAACTTCAAACAGATTTAGAGACAGGGCCGGCTCGTTATGCATACCGCACCCAGTTCTTACTGTACATGTATTTTAAAAGGTTTTGTGTCTGAGATATTTTTTTCCATTTCATACAATCTACTGACTATATTATAGAGAAGAGTCGGTTATTTTACGAATGATCCGTTTGTACATCTATACTTTAATAATAATTGATTGATATATTGTTTAAATTATATAATAATCTTTATAATTAAATCTTTCTAATTTATTTTAGAACACTAAAGGCTTGCTTATATTTGATAGAATGTCCACTAGGATACTTTGGTGTGGAATGCAATATCCCCTGCGTTTACCCATCATACGGTCTAAGATGTAATACTATTTGTAACTGTAGTGAAAATGAGTGTGATAATGTACACGGATGTTTGCTGATGAGTGAGTTTCTATCTTGTGCTTCAAAATGCTTTGCTAAAACTGTATTTATTAATTTTTCTAATCAAAATATTTAATTAGCCGATACGTATTTTACCTTAGGTACGATTGTAGTTACATCAGAGAAAGCTGTCAGTACTTTATTACAAAGGGATGAATCAAGAGGTGAGGAAAAGTTGATGAGTTAAGAAAGAAAGACAAAACACTCAGTCTGAATTTAACCGTTTTCAAAAATACACATTTATTCTAGTTCCTCTATATCAAACTTTTTAAGCACAGAGGAGGAACCCTCCCTCTCCCCCAAAAGAAAGGAAAAAACTGATTTCTTATTTGTTTGTTTTCTTTTTTACTATTGGACACTAATTGCAAATAAATGACCTTTTTAATCAATTCTTTATGGGTATCCCTTAGGGGAAAGTATACTAAATTAGTAAATTTAGCTCACCTCAACGAAGTTGGGAGGAACTTATGTGATACCTCGCAATCGGCGTCGGCGTCCGAGGTTAGAGTTTTTGTGCAGTATTTTCTTTAAGTACTCTTATGCCCTACATTGATCAGATATGCAAGCAAGATGCCTCTAGTGTGTTTCATTGTACCAGTCAAGGTTTCAGATGCTGAATTTCAGTCAAGAAACGACCAGATTAATGTTAATGGAACAGGTTAAAGTTTCTGGTGCTGGTCTGCACTCCAAGAAGCTATATGCCCAGAATTGACCAAACTTACCAGGTTGATACCTCTAAGGATACATACTACCAGGCTTGCTTCAAATGCTGGATCCGACCCACATTTTCGGGATGATTGAACAGTTTAAAGTTTTTGGAGCAGGTTTATTTCAAAGTGACGATAAGCCCTATGTTAACCAAACTTATATGGATGATACACCTTAGAATGCACAGTATCAATTATGCAAGCTTGCATCTAGATTTTTCAGATGTGTGATTTTGGAATGTACACTTTTGGATTATTAGTTTAATGTGGGACTTTACCTTACTTAAAGACAACATTCTTTAAGGTGAGCTCTGTATCTCTGAATACATATGTTTTTATTACGAGTTGATAGAACATCGACTCTGTTATCCTCTTGCTCAGGTTTTCTGCATTTTCGCCAAAGAACACGGCTCATTTGTTCGGTTCATTCTATAAGAATTTATCTCTTAGTTTAAAAAGTTTAACATAAATGAAAGTAAACATATTGTTTCTACACATAATACCGTTTCTTTTTAAAAAGCAGATTGATATTATGTGTAAAAAATAATATTTTTATCGTCAGTCCTACAAAAAATATAGTGCACAAGACTGAGCTACTTTTCATCTTCATATTCACCACGTGTTTGTATGTAAACAACAATGAAAGCACACAGGCATGAAAAAATTGATTAACAGGGTTACAAATTTCAAAAGAAAAAGACTAAATTCGAAGCACACTTGGAGAGAAAAAGGAGCCACATCAAGGTAATTACATTTATGCATAGCTATATGTAATATAATACTGAGAGATAATTTTGCTATTAAGTCTGTGAGTTTACGATCAGACCGAGGTCGAGTTTACGTACGCGGATTGCATGTTATTATTGCCCTCTTTTCAGCGTTAATGGCTGGCTTTGTACTGTTCAAGACAATACAAAGTCTATTAATCCAAAAAGCTATATTTGTTTATTTAAGAGTGCGAAACTTTACTTCATGTATTAGAGCCGGGGTTGACCTGGTTAAATAGGTGAGTTTTATCTCCATCACTGTCAGCTTGGTCAGTGTAGCTGATAAGAACTGCACCCAGCTGTTTACAAATTACCGACAGGAATCCATTTTGTACATAATTGAATATATATAATTTACAGTTGAAACTTGTGCGCTCTTTGAATCTATATCATTGGTCTATTAATTTTGAAACAATTCTATCGGCTGTGTAAACACTTGCAAATAAAATAAATACAAATAATCACAAGACAGAAGATTCTCAAACGTAAAAAATAATTATTCATAAAAAAGATGTCTACAGTTTTCTTTTATCGTCTTTTTACTGTGGAGAACATTGTTATATATTTGCTATTGATATATAATAAGATAGCAAAATATAAATTATTGTAAAAGAGTCTTAAAGGTCAGACAAAGCACCAGTAATGATGCAGTTTATTGTGAATCAGGTAGATTTCTACTTATACTTGAAAGGAAAAAGAAAATTTTGAAATACTGGGCGAAATTAAAAAACAGTGATAATTGTATATTACAAGCATGTTATCAAGATATGGTTGAAAATAATGCTGATAGATTGTAAACATTAAGAAGGAATTACAAAGACTTGGTTTAACTGACATGTATGATAGTAATTGTATTGATAATAATTCTCTGAACATTATACTTCAAAGAATGTATGACTGTTATGAACAAGAAATTATTGCAAGAATTTGTAATTCTCCTAAATATTTTCTATTTCAACATTTAGTGGATTATAATGTTGCACTTCAAACTTATTTAAGAAACCCATTGCATTCTAAGTATAGAATACCTATCAGTCGTTGAAGGCTTTCAGCAGTTGATTTAAGGTAGAAAGGGGAAGGTATAGTAATATAGAAAGAAAC